TCTAATTGTCGTGTGATGCTGCGCCATCATTTTTAAACCACCAGCATCTTCCTTTTATGTGAGACAAGTGGAGGAAAAAATGGGCTGAATCCAAGTCTTTGTTTAGTTTTATTATGTGCGATTCCTTTTTAGCATTCTGAGCATTTAACCTTGAAAAATAGTGTTGTTTTGCCACTGTGTTTTCTGATTGTTAGTCTCAAGGCATCTCAGTGGCATCTTTATAAATCTGCTGTAGCTGGTAAATATTTCTTGCAGTCCAGTGCTGAAGACTGAAAAACCCAGATTACTTTTAGCTGTCAGGCAATTAATGTAATCCAGAGGAAATGAAAGGTATGTGCAACTAGGAGTGCTGTTAATAACACACGGTTCCTGACTCACACTTCTAAGGGGAAGACTGGGGGGGGGGAAATTGCTAAAATAAAACATAAAGAGGGTGCTGAAAACGATCTTGAGACTCTGAATGCTGCTTCATTGCAGATTATGTGACAGCTAATATTTGGACAGACTAGTATTTGGAGAGAAAACATGATAAATGAATTTATTGATCACCTGTTCCAAATGACAGCCACAGTAAACTTACACAGGGCTGCATCCTATCACATCATCGGTTTGTAATTTTTCCTCTCCTGTGTTTTAGGTACAGTCAAATACAGGCAGGAGGTATTTGTGATTACAGATGTAATGCCAGTATTGATGGCTGCATTCCTAGTCAAAACACTGGAGGACAGAGGGAGCTAAGCCAGGGAGATACAAGGGTAGTAAGACACAGGATCAAGAAGTTCTGCATACATGCCAAGATCTGAAACAAGTGCCAGGCTTTGCACAGGCAGAGGGATTTGAGCCCGAGTGCTGTTGCCACCATCAGCAGCAACTGCCCAGCAGGTACCACCAGGCTGAACTTTGGGCTGCTGCCATTTCAAACGTCGGACCAAGGTGTATGGTATGGATCTGGGAACCCACTGCAGGTCCTAGTAACCATTTTATTTGGTCTATAACCATCACTAGCTGAGGACATTACTGCTCCAGCTGAAAGGAGGATAAAATCTGGGAGGAAACAAAACCAAATCTTCCAACCTCAATAGTCCCTCTAGAACAGAGGTGGAACAGCATCAGTGTTAAGAGGACACAGGATTTTCCAGATGTTTCTCTGCCTGCTTCTACCCTGAGACCCATTTAAACAGACCCCTGTACCATCAGCAGAGCTTCTGTGTATGCTTCTGCAAGCCTAGAGCTGCAGCATGTCAATTCGTGTCTCTTGACCAGTTCAGCTTCCATCCAGCCTTCTTTCCTCTGGAGCCAGAAGGAGCTCCATCTGTATTAAGATAGCAGGATCGGGCCTTTTTATGATACTGCCAATATAGAGTAATTAAAGCAAACTAAATGAATAATTCCAGCAGATGAAAATTAACTCGGTCACATAGGCAGATAAAAGCATTGCCTGTTATTTGAAGCATCTGTGGAGCGGTACCTTTAAACACCATGGCAACCAATGCTATTACTGAGTTCTTTTTTAGATCTCATTTAAAATGTAGGAAAATTGATGCTTTATTCACTCAGAGTAAGGTGGGTTTTCTTTTTTTTTTTTTATATGAAAAAAAAATTTGAATCTGGTATGGCCCTGCTTTTAACAACTAAATCCCTTTTTCTGTAACAGCTTTTCTCATCCTTCCTCACACAGCTTTTCCTTCTCTAGCTCCCTGCAGGTTGACCATTTAACTGGCACCAAACATTCCTCTCCCAGAACCACTTATTGATCTGTTTTCTACTCTTTAACGTATCCTTTTCCAGCTCTAAGGGCTGCATCTCCACTCAAGGCTAAAAGCACTGGCTTAGTTTGTTTTCTTCTTGGTACCCAATTCTCTCAACAGTCCACAAATGCCACATGTTTTTCATCAATGAAACAATCTTTTGTTAATCCTGTTTAACTTACACCCAAATATTTCCTTTGGCTAAAGGACAGCCATGCCATATCCCCTTTCATACACCACAGGTGCTGGGAAGGGTCTTCCTTGGCAATCAGACAGTTCTGTTCTCCCTGGTTTGGAAGGATGGGTTATGGTCAGCCATTTCCTTTCAGACAGGAAATCTGAAATCTTCCTTACAGTACAGGCATCAGCAAATATACAGAAAACTCAGGTTTCTCGCAGACTGGTCTAGCTTTAAGCACAGAAAGACTGAAGACTACGTGGGAATCACCAGGTGGGATCAGCCAGCCCAGGCAAGCATCTAGAAACCAGTTCCAGACACATCAGGAAAAGCTAACAATTAACATCCTGCCACAGGAATATGCCAGCAACCCCTCCATCATACTCTGCTACACGCATTTTCACTTCAGCTCTGCTGGAAAGCCCTACAAGATTTAAAAAATGTGTGAGAATTGCCAGACTGAATGAAGCCTCTGGCTGCTCCTGCTGCAGGACACCAGGCAACTTCCGATCTGTCAGAGAAAGGCTGCAACATCCCTGCAGCAGGGACAAGGTGATAATTTTCTCATGAGAAAAATGCTTCATTCCAGCCACTAATAAAGTTTACTCCATAATTTGATGGATGACATAATAATTACCTTCCAAAATTTGCTAACATCGCCCTGCTGGATGTTCAACTACAAATCTAGTCTCCTTTTTATCCTTGCTGTATCTTGGCCCAAGTGATGTTCCTCAGGACAGCTTTAACAACCCTGCTTCCACTCTGCTTACTGTCATGATCTAAGTGTTCACATCCTTTTAGAAAGGCCAGAAACCAGCCATACCACTAAAATATACAGGAGGCAATTTATATCTGACGCATCTAGCTGTGAGATGCAAAAGAGGCACCACGCTCCTGAGTCAAACTGTTCATTAAATGACTTGTTCAATAAATTTAGCCATTTTTCAGCTCATTAACTGCCCCTCCAAAAAACAGATTAATTTTTACAAGTTTGTTCATTACTCACAGCTGCTGTTTAATGTATCCAAGAGTGTAGACTATTCACAAGGTGGCCGTAGAGAGAACTTAAAGCGTTAGTGGCTATTTGGAGCTCTGTATTTAGCTCTGTCTCTCTGTTGGGTATTGATCTTCTCAGCCAAATGAAACATTTCTGATTATTTCAAAAGTAATTTTTTGATTGGTCCTTACTCATATTCTGCTTCATCAGACGCATAGATAGAAATCACCTTTTCCTGAAAAATTACCTAACTAAACTTCAGCCAGACAAGTGTCCATGAACAGTAAAATGGAGGAGGAATGAGTCCCCAGGTGTTTCTGGAGATTGTAAGACTCACCTTAACACTGCCACTGACTCTCTAGGTGATGTGAGGCATATCATTTTACCATTCTGCTTCTATTCTCCACATTTAGGACGTATAAAAGATCTTGCCTGTTGCATAAATCAGTTAGGATGATAATTCGACCATGTGAAACATTAAGTAAATACCAGGTACAATTAATGGTGTTGAACATATTAAATCCATAACTCTTCCCACCAAGAAGTTTTACTTTGAACAACCTTTCCACTGAATTGCTTATTGTAAATGTGCCATCACAGGAAGGGCAGGTAGTTAGATCCTTCTGAGGAGTTTAAATAAACAAGTAAGTTCTGCAAGCTATTTCGTTTCATGAAATTTGGCTTCATCAGCAAATAAGTTACAGCAAAGCTTGTACAGATCCATTTGGTCCTCAGGAGAGTTAAAACTGCTGCATAGCCCATGATTTGCACATTTTCACTCACTTAAACATAGAAGTAATGACATTTTCTACTCCATTCTATACACTTTAACTTAAAGCAGCAAAGGCAAGCTTTGAGCTTTCAGCTCAAAATGTCCCTTGCCATCACAGATACAGCAACAGAAATTTTCAGGGATGCAATTTTTACTTGCTGGGTTGCCTTTTCCACTGCCTATTAGTGCAGAATATATATTTTATATATATCTATACACACTGTTGGGAGTACACGTGCTCAATCTAAGATGAGGTTTAGACCCTTCACTGCAAGGGTTGTGAAGCACTGGAACAGGCTGGCAAGGGATGAGTCACCGTCCCTGGAGGTATTAAAAAAAAGTGTAGCTGTGGTGCTTAAGGACATGGTTTAGTGGTAGGCTTTGGAGTGATAGGTTAGTAGTTGGATGTGATGATCTTGGAGGTCTTTTCCAACCTAAATGAAAATATTTTCAGTAGCCAGAATTGTCATACACGGTACCAGCAATTTTTGTTCAGAAACAGCTTGTTTACCAAATTAGTTATTGCACCCAACTACCAGCAACACCTTACATTCATTGTTAGCTTTTTTATTTTTTCCTTTTTTTTTTTTTTAAAGTTGTTTAATTTAGTGACCTAAAATATGTTTGCAACCACCAAATGGAAGCACAGATGTGTTATTAAGAAGATTTTAAAGAACTGAGGAAAATTTAAATATTGTACTATAAGCCAAAATGCTATCTTCACAGACACCATCTTATTAAAATCTGAGAAGCAGCTCTTTTAGTGCTATTCCTTCTATTGCTATATGAAAGAGTGCCTACGATATCATATTAGCTTTCAAATTCACCTACTTTGTTGCTTCTATGTCAGGAGTGGCACTCCTCCTCCTACGGCCAAACAATATATACTCTATTTACATCCTTTATATTGTGTGGGCTCCTATAAACAGTTGGCTAATTTTTGCCCCGTAGTAAGTATGCCATTACAACTGCGAATCATCAAACCTTTCTCCTCCAGAGAATAATTGTCCTTTGTGTCCTTAAAGCTGGATGTTTTTGCTAGAAAGTAACATGCTTTCAAGGAGCTGGCTTTGACCCCTTGACAGGGGAAAGAGGAAAAAAACAAAACTCCCACTGACTTCTGTATACTGCTGGTGAAAAAACAGGATGTATGACATATTGATATTTGTTTCCATTTGAAATTGAATGAGAGTACAGAATATGCAGTAAAAGGAAAATTCAAGAAGGTTTCACTCCAAAAAAATACTAACATATCTGATTGTAAAACGCCTGGGACTGTGCCCATGGTGGCTGTTAGCTGCATACCTTCTGTCCTCCATCTCCCCTTCAGTCTGGCTCTGCTGCAGGGCTGCCATCTCCCAGATGAATCACTGACACACCAGTCCTGCAGCTCCATGAGAAGAGAGAGACGTCCCAGTACCAGGGGAGCTGTACATGAGCTGGAAACCTGGTCAATGAGAGGGAGACACCCATCACTAAAAATGCATTATCTCTGGCAGCTCGTGATAATATTGAAATGAACCACAGTATCTCCTCGCAATATTTTCTGTAAAGAAAAAAAAAATTGTCAAAAAATCAGAATTTTCTTCTGAAAATATTTTGACTTTGTTGAAATAGGGGCAAGGGGTTGCTTGGGGACTTTGCATTTGAAATTTACAGGAAACTTGCACCAAGTGAATTCCCAGCACAACAGCAGCAAAAGCAAATACAAGCCACAAAATACAGGAAGGCATCCTTCAGTAAGCTGGTCCAAAGTAATTTATTATAAACCCCCACACACACAATCTTATAATATGAATATGTTTTTGTAGCACAGAAACTCACAGACATTGCTGATGTGCCCATCCTTTTTCAAGGCATTACGTTAATATGCAAGTCAATCACTCAATTACTTTTGCCATCAGGTGCACACATCAGCTGAAGTTTCATTACAAAGAGATTTCTATAATAAATAATTGACCTCCGCAGAACAGAAAAGGTTTCATCCTTTGTATATAGAGCCAAGCTGTATGGATGCCCTTAATGAACTCCACAACTGCACTTAGACAAAGTAGAAAAGTTCCCATAACAATTAAGACTCCTATGCCCAAAGTAACAAAACAGACATCAGCTGAGGCAAGAGAGTGCTGAGATTTTACAGGGACACTGCAGGATACATAAATGGTTCTCCACTCTTCCCCGCTCCTTGATAGTATCTACCTCTGCAACTCTTTACTCTCCGTCAACACATTTGGTTTATGGAATTTCCAAGATTAAATTGCACCAGGAAGTCTTGGTCATGCTATTAAAGTGGTACTTGACCCTGTTGTTTCCATCACTTCTCAAGAAGGAGGAATATCTTTCAAAGACTTGCTATTGCCAAGATGCCTTAGCCAGGATCCTCATTTTAGGATGCTCATGATACAGGAATGTAATCTGATGAGACCAGCAACAATATATATATATATACACATATATACATATACAAACACACACTAACTACCTTTTGGGCCCCAAAACAGAGCAGTTTAGCTATCAGAAACAATGCATCAGACAATAACCAGCCTTTATATTCACATACTCAGAGCATGCAAGAAGGCAGAGATGTCAGCAGGATACAGGTCACAGGCTGGGTGGAGAAGGCAGGGAGCAGCTCACATGGAAAGAGCTGGATGAGAGGCTGAGGGCTCCTCCTCACCTCCAGAGAGAGGTCACCACCTCTCTGGCAGAAATAGGTCTGATTCTGCCCTCGGCGCAGTTCTGCAGCCCTCTGCACCAGGCTGTGTACCGCCTTAGTGCCTAAGAGCACCTCGGCTAATTTCCCTGCCTAATTCACCGTCTGACCACCTTCTTTCTCCTTTTTCTTTTTAAATCATTCGCTTGGCTTTCTGCTGCTGCACACTCACAACCAGCCCTGAGGAACAGGTCCCTTCACAATGGGATTTTCTGCCCTGACAGCTCGCTATAAAGATCCTCCTCAGCCTGGCTCCATAGTGTCTGTGTCACTTCACATTAGAACTTAAATAATAGGAATAAATCAAGTAAATGAAAATATGCATCCTGAAGGCCTAACGTAAGTGATTTCATCCATTTTAAAAGCCACCAGCCCTAATTTACCTTAGAACCTTCCACCTTCCTTGAGGGTGCCTCTGAAGTACCCTCTGACTGATGTCCTTATTTTTAGTTTTGTAGCAGAAGCCAAGGAGAAATTAAAGAAATAAAATGGAAAAAATAATGAGAGCTCATTTCAGCTTATAATGGTATTTTCTCAGGTGACTAAACATTCATTTGACTTTTGGTAGTGTTGAATTTGTTCTCCATTAGGGCAAATACGATTTGGAGGCTAACTTGACCTCTGGAGTGTAGAATTTTTCTTTATCTTTACTGCTGGCTTCAGTTATTTATCAGGTCAGTGTGTGCTCAGATTCCAGGAAAACTGAGCAAAGAAATGAAATTAGCACTGCAGACAAACACAATTGGAGGAGCTGGCTGTTGACTCAGATGAGCAATTTCTTTCAGACTGTCACTAGCCTCAGTACAAGATGAGATGTCTGTCAGAGTCCAGTATCTGTCATCTAACGGTTCATTTCACTGTATGACAGGAATAAGAAAAAGCATTAAAAAAAAAAAGTCAAGTCTGCAAGAATTTGCAATGAGTTCCTATGAGTACCTACTCTCTTCTGCATGACCTTACAGCGTACAACTTCCACGGCAGAAGTCTTAAAAGAAGAACTAAAGTTTGGATATATATTTTCAGGAAATAAAATTGCTGTGGAAAAGACACCTAGTAATAAATTTCATGTAGAAAAAAAACAAATGGTCTTCTAGAAAGGCAAAATCAACTTACTCTTTGAAGAAGAACAGCAAACTATCTGTGAGAGGGAAAATGAGGGATCGTTTTCAGATTCTGTGAGGAAATAACAGATTTTCCTGATTCAGGTCAAAATATTCGTTTATCTCCCTGGCACATCTGAGCCTGCGTGTTGGGTAACGGCTGCACCAAGGTTTAACCGTGCCAAGTGCACTGCTCCTCTCCTGGCATTGCTTAGGTTACCTTTGCCACAGCCCTGCCACAGCGTACCAGTGAGTTTGCACCGCATCCACAAGGGTTAAGAGATTTTGCTAACTAGAGCATTGCTAACTTATTTAGCAAAAAGTCATCCAGGACAAGGACCTCGCTCGAGTCTGTTTTGCTGAGCGTTCGCATTATGAAGAGAGAGACTAAAGTGGGTTGGAAAGCTATTAGCAATCCTTCCTCTGTCCCCTGAGAAACACTGAGCCAGATTCAACAGGGCTCAGAAGCTCCATGATACAAGTAAAAATGGCTTCGAGCTGCAAAAAAAAAAAACCCTAGCAGGACTCCTGCTCTGTCAGTGGAAAGTGCTCCATTTAACAAATTCAATTCTTAGAAATGCAAAGTGCAAACTAAAATGGTCCCTGCTGAATAAACGGCACAACTGGTGAAGTTCAGCCAGCCTACATGAAAGGTGACATTTTGCTGAGAAACGTTTCTTAGAAAATGAAAGATTTTTGGTGATTATTTTTTCACAGATCACAAGGGGAATTTCTGCACTAGTGAAAGGTGCCAAAAGCAGCTGCAGATATTCGAATGCTATTTATTGCTCAGCTTGAACAGCAAGCAGCAATGCAAGCCTCTTGGAAATGTCCTTGGAAAGGCCGTTTCCAGAGGCGAGCAGGAGCTGCAGTTCCCAGCTCCATCAGCATCCATCTCTGGGAGGGGTTTGCAAACACAGGTGCCAAAAGCAGCCTCTGCAGGACATGGACATAGTCACACAGGAACAGGGACAATACAACAAATTCCACCTCCGGGAGAACAAAGGCAAAGTGTTTGCCCATGCACTATCCAATCCTGCATGAGGTGGACTCACAAGGCAGGGCCAGTGGCAGGCCCAGGGTCCTAAGCTGCCGCCCTTTGCTGAGCAGCGGGTTGAGAAACTGCTGAATGTTTGCTCCTTGCTCCCTCTCACCCTCCCTCACCTTAGAAGGGGAAAATAAACAAATGAGGCTGTGGCCACGAAGAAAAAAAAATCACCTTCATTAATTTAAAATAATTTGCATAAATTATTTCTGAGTAGCTGTGCTTTTTTCAGTACGTGTTAGTTACCTGCTGGCCGTGCTGTTAGAGCTGAGTGGCTCCTTTAGACGTGGCACTTCCCTTTTATTTTTTTTATTTTTTTAGGAGATACATTCCTATCATATCATTAGCTGGATATCATATCCCAGATCCCTCTTCAGTTTCAGTCCTACCAGTAGTAAAAAAAAACTGTCACAGTTTCTACACAGTGGTGTGTCCCTATGCATCAAGTATACTCAGCTGTGTTGTTGATGAATAGGAAACATCCAGCCTTCTTCAAAGTGCCACACGTAGGAGCAGAGCCTTTTCGTAATTAATGCTGAAAGGACAAGGGGATCAGCTCAACTGCTGCAGCAAGGCCCAACACATGACAGAGCTTTGTTTGCTTTTCCCATTTCAATGGAAGAGCAATAACTTGCTTGAGAACGTCCTGTTCGGGACATTGGAGTGATCATACTGGCTATTTCAGCATCCTGTCCCCTCAAACTACAGCACTGCATGGAGAGGGAATGGAGAGAAGAAGTGTAAGAACCCATACTCCAAGGGTAGACTCGGAAATATCAGAAGGGGAACAGAACCAAAAAATCCTGAAACTGGGATGGGTGCTTTTTTAATCCCTTGCACAGAACTGAGGATCCCTTGCAAAGAACCAAGGATCCCTTTCTATGAAAAGACTAAATTCTAGTTGTTGTTGTTTTTTTTAAATTAATCTGTGAAGGCTGCTATTCTGCTTTGGGTAGGATTTCTGGTTGATAGCTGCTCCTTCCAGTTGTTTAACAATTTAAATTACAGTCACAGCGCCACGTCTTCATTCCACCGGTCAAAGGATTTTGCCTCCCACAATGAATTAGAAAATGCACATTAGGAAAAAGCTGGCAGACAGATTATTATGATTATCTTAGCAGCAGGTATTTAAAGCTCATTGTCGCTAAAGCTCCTTGCCAATGCCCAGATTCTTTGTCACAGTCGTAAGGTCTGTGCTGCTGGGACAGTCTCTGACAGACACCTCCACCGGTGACGGCTCTTGTTTGGACTTTGCGAGTGCAGCTCAGCATGCGCTGAAGTGGTGCCACGGTGACATCGGCCGTTCACGGAGAGGAGACGCGACCTGCCATCTGCTCATCTTATATTTTATGGTCTTTAAATTGCGCTGTAATAATTTCCTGGCTGTCATCCTGGAAGGAGAAACAGGCAACGTGAGTTCAGCCAGCCAGCAAGGCAGAGGTGAGCAGAGCTTTTGGGTACTGAGGAGGAGACTTAGTTGAGCATCAGGTGTTAGGAAGAATATTTCACAGTATATGTGGCTAAAGTGGGAGGAAAGAAGTCTTCTGGCGCCTGTCTTTCTCTTCAATATTTGTTCTCTTTGGACCACATTATAATACAAGGTGTTTCTGAAGGCAGACACTCGGGGACACTCAGGACAGGTGCAGTGACAGAGCACAGCTCCTTGGGATTCTGTTTTTTCAACCTTTTACATCACTCAATTACCTGGAGCTTGAAAGCTTCCTTGCTCTAAAACTGCAAGACGTACGAGACAATACAAGGTGGTTTATGGCTAGCTCTGATCACAGGACCACCATCTTGCAGTGCCCACCTCTGAGGTTTTGCCCACCGAAGCTGCACCCCAGGCCTGGGATGAAGGGTGAAGCTCCAGGTGAAGCGTGACAGCCAGGCCTTCTGGGCGCAGGAGGCTGAGCCACAGGATAACTGCGGCTACCGAATACAAATAGCAGGTCAAAAAGGCAGCAGGAAGGGCAGGACACCAAGGCCTGATGAGAAACAAAAGGAAGGCTGTTTGCCTCTGCAGGCTGCGGCGGCTGCACACATGAAGAGCCACGTGCTGCCGGCAGCTGTCCTCCAGGCAGGAGCCAGCATCCCCAGGGGTGGCAGGAGGCTCTTCGCAAAGGGAAGGTACTGGGGTCACAGGCTGAAGTCAGACACACCAGATTATAATTTCTTCCCTTTCTGTTATTTTTTCCTATTGAACAAATTAATAGCGATTATGAAAAATTAAAAACCAAAGGTCACATTTTTAAGAAGGAGAATATAGAAGTAACTGATTTCCAAGGGAAAGCACTGTTATTAACAGTGCAGACGATGCAAGCGCTGGAGCCAAGCCTAAGGAAACGTAGGATGCTGGCAAAAGTGTGAACTCATTTGGGGCTCCTTTAATTTTTAATTTCCTCTCTTCTCTGCGAAGGCCAGTTGTCAGCTCTTAAGGATGGGAAAAATATGTTTGCTTATCAAGTCAGATAGAAAGAAGGCTTCCTGAGGCATTTTTCCAGCGGTACCCAGCGCAGCTCCCCACATGGTCCATCAGTGACTGGGTTACTTGCAGACCTGCCCCTCATTAATTCTTCTGCTTGTGCAGGTCAGCATGCGTGGCATGCACAGATTCAGTCAGTGCTTGCCCCAACGTGCCCTAGTCACCCCCATAGCAGCTTTGGTGGCTACTCCACACAGAATTGGTGGCTCTCATCTCCTGGCCTTTTGGTTACACAAGGTCGTCAAGTCACTAAAGATTTTTGAGCCAAATTCTCTACCAATATAGATTAAGTTTTCCTTGGCCTTTTGTTTTGCTTTTAATTAAAAAGCACAGAAAGGAGGTAAAGAGATCAGATGATCAGTCTTGATAAATTAAACTTCAATTAAAGCAAAAACAAATCCAAAAGTAATTTTAAAACAACTTCAATATTTCTGTGAAGACAGACCACAATTTATGTTCCAACAGTGGCATGGACAATAGGCATGATTTTTTTCTCCTGTTGTACTCAGACTTCACATCAACCTGCAAATGAATTTGATGGAGAAACCACTCAGGTTTCAGTCACCGTTACTCACTGCCCAGCTCTGGACTTGGAGAGTCCTTCAGACAAAAGGCTCCATTTCTTTGCAATAATCTACCCAGCAGCCTGTTTTTTCCTGAGCCTCGTTAAATCCTGACCTGGAGCTGGTACAGAAGGGCTGTTTGATCACCATGCATCACCTCCTCTTAGCAACAATCCACAGCACCACATTTCCCTTCCACAGGTGTAACCTCTGTTCAACAAATTGTATTAAAATTAAAAAAAAAATAAATAAAACACCATAAGAAAACATTCCCTTGTATTTATTCTTCTATCTGCATAAATCAGATGTCCCTCAGCAACTGAAAAATGTGAAGTGGCAGAGCATGCCACCACTGCTCGTCTCAGGGTATGGACATCATCTTATTAGCAAGAAAAAGGATCTTACTGTTTGACCCATAAATAAGGCTCCAATTGAGTCTATGAAAGAACATCAGATAATGACACAACTACTTGACATATCCCACGTAAGCTACAGCAGCTATTCAAAGGACAAAATATTTAATCAGAAATACATTCAGTACATTTAGATTAATAAAACAGCAGTTTTTCTTTTGGCATCTATTCAAACTGAAAAAATGTTCTTCAGACCTCAGCTCTGGTTCTTTTATCGTTATTTAAAATACCAATCCAATAGCCACTGTATATTTTTAGTAAGGCTTCATGTGCTAGGACAAAGCGACCTGCCATTACACCCTGTGTCCAAAGACCACTGCAATAAATATAAGTTTCCCAAACCAATTGCAAAAAATCCCTCAGTTTGGGCTCGTTTCTCCTCCTTTTTGTGTTTTGTTTTGCTGTACATTCTAGGTTCACGTTGGAACAAGATTTTATCTCATACTGATGTAAAAGAATCAAGAAGAAAATCATCACAGTGTCACCCTGGGGTAAGGCTGGCATGGGAGGAGACTCAGGCCCAACAACTGCAATAATAATGCTCAAGTTGAGGGCTCTGTGTGGGTGCTTCTGAAGCTGAAGTGGGCTCCGATAGTTCAAAGGAACCCCCTGCAAGGACCAGCTCCTCCATTGGAGCTGAGGGTATTTTTACCACAGCCTTTGCCCATCAACAACATCTGGCTTCCTCAGGCAGGAATTCAGGTGAAGTTTATCCCCGTTATCAAACAACTAGAATCAAACCAGTAATAAAACCAACCCTGACTGACAGCCCGCTGCTCTTCAGGGGGTTACAGCACCTCTTGCCAGCTCCCTGCTGGGTTTGGGGGCAGCTGGGTTAAAACAAAGGCAGGGTTTCAGAGGGAGGAGAGGCAGATGTAAGTGGTGTGGCCACTGGAGTGGGACCAGATCGCAACAGGTGCTGCCTCCCGCAGCATCGTGCAGCTCCCCCAGCCAGCAGTGACACCGGGAAATGCTGGCACGTGAGCTGCTCCTGCTCAGCGAGACTCTAATTTCAGGCAAATGAAGAAAAACGCAGAGTGAGGCCCCATGGGTTGTTGTAGCTGGGATAACTCTTTACCTTTCCTTGCCAGAAATGTCAACACAAACAGGGTGAGCTACGAACTCAGGAGAGCTGCTGGTGTTTGCCAGCTGGCTGCGTCCAGCTTCCTATGAGATGTGATAAGAGACACATGGTGCTGCCTCCCGTCAGCCTCGCTTGTCTGTCAGCCTCACTGCAAGCAAGAATTAATGCTCTTTATGAAAACAAGGGCATTTGCGTTACCTCCTTGTGGGAGGAAACAAAGAAACAGAGAGCAGTTTGCCCTGTTCCCACCTTCCAGATTTCAAGAAAACAATAGGAGTGAATGAGACTCCAACGAGAAGCATTTGGATGTAGAAATTGCCTGTTTTGTGCCTGATAAACATTTAAAAAGAGAAGTCAAGGAGTGGGACTCAGCAACGGCAAGTGAGCCTTTCCTGTCAGATGCAGAGGGAGCTCCAAGAGGGTGCTATACACCCCTGCAGGGGGCTGCAGCACAAAAATTGAGGATTTCCTCCACCACCCCAGCACTAAACCCCTCCAGTAGACTCTAGGGCATCAGGCCATACCCTAAATTACACGTTATTTTGTTCCACATCGCCAACCACTGACGTCCTATATCCTTCCCAGGGTCATCAAGCGTGCCCCCATCTCAACAGGCGAGTGGCCTGTGATAGAACCATTTGACTGAATCCATTATTCCTGCATTTATTAATTTGGACGGTTAAGCTGTAAAGGAAATTTACAGCTGGAGGTAGCATCATTTGTTTGTGCTTATATTCATAGAATATGCTATGGTGCACTGCTGTCTTCCTAATAAATCAGCACAAACCGCTGCTGTTCTCACATACCCCGATACGTTAAATGCAACAGGCTCTTGTGCATTCTCCGGCACAGAGGGTGTCTCACATTGGCCAGGGAGGTTGCTCCAAATGTCAGTGGAAGTCAGCAATCACAAATCCCCGAAGCACTGAGTGTCCCTGACAGCACACGAGCAGCTGAGCACCACGCTGAGCTCGGTACCTGCTCCAGCAGCAGGAAGAAAAGCGCTGCCTGGAGGGCAGGAGCCCGTGCAGGACGGTGACCATGCAGCAAAGGGATTCCTGGAGCTGCTCCCATGATAACTATTAAACCACAAAACCTCATTTTGCAGCAACACTGGTTAGTTTTCCAGGAATCAGCCCTTAGGAGCCGCAGCTCTCTCACCAGAGGCGCAGAACAAGCCATCCTTCAGCAGCCCACGCCACAGTTTGGACACATGAGAGCTGCTGCCACGCGCAACGAGCCAGGCTCACCCAGCAAAGTACACTGCTGCCGTGCACACCGCACTGCCCAGCGCCTCCACCTTCCCTACCCCTTGGGAATACCACGGTGACCCCCCCCAGAAATCACAACCAGAGCATCACACTGCTGCTGGGCACCTCCACAGGTGGCTTTGGATGTTGGAAGATGTCTGTGGGGCTAACGCTGCCTGCCTGGACAGACCCGTCCCATGCAGAGGTGCTGAGCCAGCCGGGGAGGGCTGCCCCTTCCTCCCAGCACCACCGAGTGCTCCCCCAGGCTGCCCAGCAGGCAGCGAGCCGGGGGCAGAAGGCCGCCTGATGCTCCCCCCAACTCCGCAGAGGGAAGCGCAGCCCCAGCCCCAGCCCCAGCCCAGCGGGGTCCAACGCTGCCACCTACCGACCCTGCCCGAGCGGTCACCGCAACGCTTCCCAGGCCAGGCAGCGGAGGCAGAAGCTGCCACCGAGCCGAAGACATTTTAGGAGCAAGAAATCTCCTGGGTTTCGCTGACTGCCGCCCCTGGCTCGCTCCGGATTTAGCGAGCATCCCGCAGACACGAAGCAGGTCAGCGAACAGAAGTCAGCCATGGGGACGGGCTGACAGGCACTGGGAT